CCAGCCATTCATAGAGGCTCCCAGGATGGCTAGGTAAGATAAAGGCATCAACTCTAAGCATCTATAGCTGTGGTTCTTAACCCTGGCTGGACATCAGAATCACCTCACTGGACTTTTTAAAAAGTTCCTGAGGTTCTGCTCCAATTGGCCTGGAATGCCCTGTACCACCACAAACACAGCTTGTAAACGTTGCCCAGGTAATTCTCATGTAGCCAGAGTTAAAGACACTGAGGTCAGAACCATTTTCTATATTTACAAGCTAAGTCAAATTCTAAAACCTCATGAAATGTACATACATTTAAGCAATTTTTTTCTCAAACATTTCAGGATTCCAGACATTTAAAAGAGTAAAATGCTCATTTACAATGATAGAACAAGAGTTAAAGAGATCAATTGATCTAAAATGTACCTACAGTTTGATAAACTGAGGCTAATCTTTCAGACTCTCACTTCCTCATCTAAGGAGAGGTGGGAGGCAAGACGAGGTTTCCTTAGTAAAAGGTGTCACCATTTTCCTCTTTCCACCTTCCAGTCTCCCTGTGCAGTGTTCTTGGTGACTCCTGTCTATGAATAAAGCAGGTGAACTGGGCTCTGTAGTGTTTGTCATTCTCTCATGGATGGGTTACTCTTGGGCCACCAGAGTTGGCTTCAGACCATTCACTCAAAGTCTAAGGTCTAAGGTCTAGCCCTGAAGTCTTGGAATTACCACTCATTTTTAGTAACATTATTTCTTGTCAAAGGACAAAAAGTCTTCAGCTTCTCTTTGGGTTCCATTTCATAACTGTACAAATACATTCCTCAAAGTATAAACATGTTCAACATATTACTCATTCCCCTGCCTCATCCGTGATGTATAACTTACCAACACAAGCATGAAATCTTACACAGTAACTTACACACACACACGCACACACACACACACACACGCACACACGCACGCACGCACGCACTCCTTACCGTATGTTCAGAATCTCGGCTGTGACGGCAACCAACAAAATGACATTCACTTCTGGAGGCACACTTTTTGGTGATAGATGTAGTTTTTCCATGGCTGGTGAAGTGATGAACTGTCAGACAGTACTGTGTAGCTAGACAACAGCAACAACAAAACCAAAAGAACCACACAACTTCATTTTCCACACTGCAAAAGAGACCTCAACAATTACATCAGAAATGGCTAAAATTCAAAATGATCTTTAGGTTTCTAGGCAAGAAACTAAATAGATGTAAACTTTAGAGCTTCTAGGTAATATTTTTGAAAAGACATCAGCTTCTGGAGCACACATGTGTTTTGAAAATGAATATAAGTGGGCACCCATCCTTTGGTGTCAGCTATAACTGAGAAAAAAGTGTGCAAGCTTTTCATCAAAACTATGGGCCGCTCACTTGACAGGAAAGTGTTTATGTCTCTGACCCTCTCTCTCCCCTTCTGAAATACTCTAAAATAAAATGAAAATTATGATTGTAAAATGCAATGGTCAGAACATTTGTTGCTACATTATTCAACATGCGTTTCTTATATACTAATAGTCCATGTGGCAAACTGGGGTGAAAAGCAGGTGCTTCAAGTTACGCATCAAGATCACCTTCCTCACCCACCTAGTTCTTATTCATGTTCTACCACTACCAACCTGTTAGACTTTTCCTCTTCAATGAATTTCCATTGTTTCTCCTCCTCTTCAATTAACTCTTACTTCCTGTTTCCTGCCCATCCCCTGCTCAAAATAGCTAGCTTAATTCTACGTGAACCTATCCTTATAGCTTTAACCACTCACATTTTTTTTTACTCAGGGTTCTTTCAAGAAAATGATTTCACTCAATATCCTAGGACACTCCTCTTTAGTTCTGTGTCTCTTCTATAGGTATCTCAGGCCAATGAAATGCTTTGTAGTTTATTGATCAGAGACTACAGCAGCAATGTCATAGGATGGAGAAAAAAACTGGACAGAAGCTGAGAAGACTAGAGTCGTGTTAGATCTTCTGAAATCTTTCTTTGTTTGTTTGTTTTTGGTAAAATGATGATAGTAAGTGCCCTGGCATTTTGATGGGGTTGTTGTGAGCTTTAAATAATATAACAATAGCAAACACACACTGAGTGTGTATCAACCAGATATTCTTCCAGCTGTGTTCACTCATTCAGTCCTCACCATGAGCCTTAAGTACAGTTTCTTGCATGAGGCCACAAGGAAAGAAAATGGCAGAAGGTAGGATTCGAGCCCAGGCAGTTTTTGTGAGTTTGTGCTCTTAACCAGAAGACTATTTTACCTCTCAGTATACTTAATATTAAGCCAGATGGTACTGTGGAGTGTTCTACAAGAGTAGCTGACTTCTGGATTCAGAAGGAAAGGGAACCACTAAACGTTTCGGAAAAGGCATTTCAATTTATACTGCAAACAAAGAAGAATTGA